TTAAGTAAGAGCGTGTCCTGAACTAGCTGCAGGGAGTGGGATTTTGCAAATCAGTTTTTAAAATCCAGGCTCGTTTCTGCACCGACATGCGGCACTGCCCCACGGGGTTGCTGGGATAAATCCCTGCTCCACGGGCACAAGGGCAGTGGGTGCACTTGAGCCCAGGCAGGGGCACATGCAGCTCTGCAGCCGGTGAGTGACTCGGGGGGGAGAACCCAAGCAGACCCATCATGGCCCTTGGCTCAACAGGCCCCACGGCAGGGACTCTTACCCAGCTCTCCAGGCGTCACCTCTGACCCCTTCTGGAAGTGCTCACTGGGCTGGAGCTGCTGTCTGTGCCTTTCTGCCAGGCACAGCCTCTGCACTTACCCTGAGAAGCAACGGTGCTAGGAGAAACAGTATTCCTTCTGTAATTTCCAACAAAACCAGAAGTTATTTGACTGTGAACTTTCAACCTCCCTAGGACACGTTAACTGTCCTGGGAGACACCGGGAACCAGGCAGTGGGGTTGGAGATCCCCTGGCAAGGTCCTTCTCTGCGGTGTCACCGCAAGGACGCTTGCTGCCTACACAGCAGCAGTGAGCACCGCGGGCTCCACCTACTCACTGGGTGCTCCTGGGTGAGAAACCGCCCCTGTTGGCTTAGTGCTTAACGGAGCTGCTGGGAGCGATGAGCCACGTAGGCAATAAGGTCTGTACCACAACTACCCGTAAAGCAGCAGTAGAGGGGATACGGGAATCCGAGGAGGAATTTCCAGGAAAGACCACACAAGCACCCAATCTCTGCTGCAAGATGACTCCTACTTCTCTCCCACTCATCCTTCTCTTTTCATTCCTTCTAAGGGACTACAGGAGAGGGAAGACTGCCCAGGAACTGCTAAGCCCCTTCTCCACATAGGCCTGGCCCAAGACCGCCCAGAGAAGCCAAGGGCGTTCCTTAGGGGCTCTCACAGTGATCCAGCTATTCCAGCACATCTCCAGCAGTGGGAGACACTATTTCAGGAGAGGATGCAAACCTGGCTGCTTTGGACAGTACATTCCCAGAGAATTGCTCAGCACCAATGGCCACTGGATTAGGATCATTACACTGTACATTTCTGCCTATTCCCTTCAGTGCTTCCTTATAGACCTTCAGTCCATCATGTTTTCATTCCCCTTTTGAGCCAACTGATGCTGTTATCCTCCCTACCCTTCCACAGCAGCTCCCAGTAGTTCACTGTTCCCTGTGTAAAGCGGCAGTTCCCATTAAACCCCCCTCTTCTCGGTTTGTGTGCCCTGCAGTTCTGGTGTTGCACGATTTAGCAAAGAGCAGCTCTGCATCTCCTGTTTGCCATCCACTGCCTCTCAACTTGGAAAATGTCAGTCACATCCCCTCCTCCTCCAGAATTCTCTCTCCAAACTGGAAAGTCCCAGGAATTTTCATTTTTCCTGTTTTCTAGTCCTCCTCCTCCCCTCCTTCTTGCAACACAGACACCAGAACTATGCCCAGCAGGCAAAACGTGTGTGCACCCAAGTGTGCACAGTGAAAAACTCACACTTTCTGGTTTGTTCACCAGACAGCACTGAGACAGCCCTAACATTATTCCGAGTAAATCTGCCTGGCACCACCTCCAAGAAATTAATGTCACGGGCCTGTCAAAGCTCTCCTCCTCCTCTGCCTTCAATCTTTTCTTCACCCTCCTACTGCACGCTCACATTCCTCCAAGCCAAGTCCATGCTGCTCTCCCATTTTTCTGCTACACCCCCACTTCCCAAGCCTCCCTTTCCAACTGCAGATAAGCACAGGATCCTGCCCTCACTGATTTACTGTGCGCAAAGCACCGCCGACAAAAGATACAGGAGCTGTGCACCATTGTGCCATCCCAGCCTTGCTTCCCTGTTGAATATGGCAAGGATTGGGTGGGAAGGGACGCCAAAGACCACCCAGCCTCACCCCCTGCCATGGGCAGGGACACCTTCTACTAGACCAGGTTGCTCCAAGCCTCATCCAGCCTGGCCTTGGACACTTCCAGGAATGGGGCATTCGCATCAGCCAGCTGAGTCAGAGCTGCACTATGAGGCAGGAGAGGAGATGTGAGGGAGAACATCAAACTTCACCTCTCCCCCTTCATCTTCACCCCTGCACAGAAAGCCCTGTTTTCCAGCCATTTTGCAAACACCGGAGAGAGCACATGGTGACAAACAGCTGGGACAGGGTGCAGCATGCAGGCACTCATCTGTTAAACGGAAACTTGTTAAGCAGGTGCTTTAGTTTTCCATGGTGAGGGGCCTGGGAAGGGCCTTCCTTCAGGAAATAACTTGGCGACCACTGTAGAGGCTGCACAGATTTTGCCTCCCCTGTGTCTGTGCCTTTCAGTCGCTGCTTGCCCAGCTCGTGCCTTCAGACCCTGGTCTTCCCACCACCCTCCCAGCTGCTGTTGCAAGGGACAGTAGCGCTGACTGGTTCCTGCCACGGGAACACGTACTCTGCCCCCATCACCAGGGATCTACTCAAAGAAAGCTACCGGTGCTTTTATTTTGCAGTAGAAGTATGTAAAAGCATGGTTAGCAGCAGCTTATATTCAAAACAAAGTGTCTCAGTCAGCTCATCATGAAATAGGAGAACTCTGAAATTGATGTAAGAATGATTAAACTCTATGAACCCCGCAGCTGCCCTAAAGCTAATGGGGCTCAAATCCCAGACCCTTTCTGAATAATATTTAAAATAAAATAAAAACAAGCCTTGAGATCCACGAGTTATTTGAATTGTTTAGAAACTCATCGCACGGTGAGTGTGCAGTCTCCGTGGGGGTACAGAGTTTATGGCAGCAGGAGGGAGAAGAGAACATTTCCAAACAATACCACAAGCAGACCAATTATATTAAAAACATTCACTCTGTGGAGCAATGCAGAATAAACCGTCACCAGCTGACCAGCAGCAGGAACACTGGTTTAGACCTGTGAACTTGCACTGCTCTGTACAGCTGTGGCCAAACTGCAACCCGACAACCCCACACCCGACAGGTTTATGACACAAGCTCTACACTACGTACAACCTAGTTCTCCAAGGAACTTTGCTTGGCATGCTCCAATGCAGAAGTGATTTACCGATGTCTAGGGCACGACGCCAGCTTTTCTCTCCATCTGAACACCAAAATACTTATCAGAACATGATAACAGTCCATCTGCTATCATGTGGCAGTGTCCTTAAGTCACTTGTTTGTTACCAGAAGTGATAGAAGAGTAGAACCTGTCCCAACAATAAATAACGTGGCCTATTATGAACTTAGGCTCACAGCCATGTGGTCACACTTTCAGTCCGAGTGCTTTTACAAGACTGTAGGATCCATTTATCTTCGCCTTTCTTGAGACATAGATCAAAACTGCAGCTAGGGGCACTGCCACTGCTGTTACAGAGGAGAACGCAATGATCAGTGGTAGCATTTGATCTGGTTTCTCCAATCTTCCTAGAAAGGGAAACAAAAGGAGAAGAGCGTTGTGTGAAAACTGACAGAAACACATATTGCTGTCAAAGCAGTGTTATTGGCGACCTCCAGCTAGAACGCTATTTCTGTTCTCGCACACAAAGCACACTTCCAAACCTTTTCCTCATGCTTTGTTCGGTAGTAACTCCCTATCGCTCACTTTAATTCCTCGCCACTATTTTGGTCTTGAACTTGCTATGGAAGTTCAAGCCCATGTGACACCATCTCCAATGAACAATTCCATGGAGTTTATGAAGCATACAAGAACGTCACATATTTTACCCACAAAACATCTGGGGGCATTTCTACCTCTCATGAAGCTTTGTCTCCAAGAAGATCCCATTTTAAAAGCCTAATCTTTAGATTTCTTGGTGAAACATAAGAGCTTTCTCTGGATTAGTCTCACCCTTCCTGCATGTGGGCTGAAATGCAGCCAGGACCTGCCTTTCCCTGGCCCCATCCTTAAAGCTACTGCACCAACTCCAGTACAAGAGAACAACGTCCACACTGAAAGGAGGTTAAATACAGCTTATTCCCACCAGCTGTTCTATTACTTGGTTTGATTTGGGGATTTTTTGGGAGGTAACTTCAGTGTGGCTGCACAAGGATCAGCCAAGAACCGTTTGTACACACCTTGGCACAGAATCCATTGGAAAGCAGGAACAGTCAGCTGCAGGCAATAGATCTACCTACCTACAACAGCTATGTCAATCACTTTGATGTCCTTTCCAACCTCATTGAAAACATCAAGCAAGTATCTGCCTGTATCATTTTGGGTGACATTGTAGAGGATAAAGGTTCCGTTCACTGAGGGCAGAATAATTTCCTTCTCCTGATGGACTTTTTTCAGGACCATCTGTGATGGTGGGTTACTGTATGTGCTACACGTGATAGTGACATTTTCTCCTTCTTTAACATTTTCTGATGGATACACTAATACAGTAACATTTTGGGGAGGAACTGAAAAGAAAAGCAAGAGAGGATTTAGCAACAAGCAGAAGCAAAAAACTCGTAAGGTACTCATATGCACAAAGTACTAATGCAAGTAATGGATTCACTCTGATAGTCGAGCACACAGCTTTTAATGCTGTTTCTAGCGATCCTTCATGCTCTGCAGCCAGCAGCAGCTGGCAGAAAGGACATTTCACCAACGGATGGAGTCTCTTGCATGTATTTTACAGTATATGAAGCCTTGCCTTTTTAAATTCACTGTTCATTCATCTGAGTTCACAAAAGGACATGACCAGCAGATCTAGAGGCTGACATCCTCTTTCAACAGAGGAGAAATAGAAAAAAAAATGCAACCTAGAACAAGATTTTTGTCTCTAGGTTCCACAATTTTATATCCTGTTTCCGAAGGCGGAAGTGGAACTAGGACAGATCTGTAAGCAGCAGTTGTTTTGTGCACCTGCATTTTGGACAAGAGTTTTCATTAGTGAAGATCCCACCACTCCTGACAAGAACCTGTGACACCTCAGGTTTGTTAAAGACAACGAGTTCTTAATGGAAGTGAAGATGTCAAGCCGTCTGTCTAAACCAAACCCTAGTACTCACTCTGAGGCAGGAATTCAAATATCCCTTGACAATGGTGTGTGCTGAGGCTGCTCTGCAGTTCTCTAACAGTATGCATTCCCATGCTCCTGCACCCTCCAGCTGAGCCCTGTCTACGGAGTATTTGCCACCTGCTCTTTCAAGGGCTGCGAGCCCATCACGTGTTTTCTTTCAGAGTGCTCTGAACAGACTAACGTCCGCAGACGGACAAGAGATGGTAACGCGTTCTCCTGGTATCACCGCACTGCAAGGGAAACCTGAAAGTGTTTTTTTTTAATGCAGCTACAGAAATAGTGAAGAACAAGGAAGAGATGGATTAGCAGCAGAAGCGATGCACAAGCAACACACTGTTGCCATGCAATAAGCGTAAGCAGCAAGGCTGAAGCAGAGAAGTCCGCTAGTTACTAAAAACGAAACTGCTATGATGGCATGTCCACAGAGATCAGCACTCAGCAGGGTTTAGATGCAGCTTGGGAGAGCAGGATGGAGTTGTCACTTCAAGGAGAGCCAGGGGCTGCAGCACAGTCCTTCCCAGAGAAGTTTCAGCATGCACTTTCGCTTCAAGCCTTCGTATGCAGGTATCCGGATCCGGCCTGGAGACTTAACCACAAGCAAACACAGGCACTGCACGGCTCCTTTGCCTCAGGCATACACATGCCAAGGAAGCAGCGATGGCAGCTCAGCTGAGAGCTGTGTGTTAGCTCTCTGCACTAAAGCAGATTTCACCCTTCAGTGCTTAAAACTCCCTAAATGACTTTATGATATCAGGGTCATCTCCTACCTCCACTGAGGTCAAAGACAGAATCCCATCCTTCACAGAATGGGATCTGGACCTACAGTACATAAACCAGAACCCCCTGTGCTCAGTCTTGTTTTACCAACCTTGAACAAGTAGTTTCACAGATTTTCTTTCTTTGCCAAAATGGTTATAAGCGTCACATTCATAAAGTCCCGAATCTTGATGTCTGACATTCTGTATAGTTAAAACTGCATCTTCAAAAGTTTTCTCCAACTCCCCAGTGGCTGCCTTTTTCTTCCAGGAGATCACTGGAGCCGGGTTACCAGAACTGGTACAGGTCATTGTCACGGTTTCTCCTTCTTTAACAGCAGCAGCAGGGACAACAGAGATCCCTGTATTCCTCGGTCCAACTGAAAGGAAGAATCCTGGAGTTCATCAACACTGGACTCTTTAGAGGCGGATCCAACATGCCCTACTGGGTGCCAGGTTGCTGGCCTCCCACAGCTAACTTCTGTCATTCTCCAAGTAAGGCAGGCACAGTGCCAGAGCTTCCACACAAACGCTCTCTAGCCCTAGCATGCTAACCGCAGACTTTCAACTGAGCACGGGAAGGCAGAGCTTCTCACTCACTCAGACCCTGACTCCAGACTGTCATTACATTAAAGTTTTCACACCTCTCTCGCTCATTAGCACCGCCCCTTTCTTTGGGGAGCAGCAGAGCACTCTGCCAATTTCTCCGAACTCACAGGGTTCTGTTCACTTTGATGGTTACATTTATCACACAATTAAGTGGACAATTAACTGTTTTTAAACGACTGGGAAAACATGACACATACTTACATTCCACATTAAGTGTTATTTCCCTTTTACTTGTGCCAAACTGATTTTCTGCTACACATTCATAGTCTCCTCCATCAGAGAGTGTCACGGATGGAAGGACGAGGATTGTCCCCTCACTGTAAGGCCCCGTGCCCGCACTGTCAAACTTTCTCCTTAAGATAACCTTGGGAGGAGGGTTACTCTCAGCAGAACATTGTATGGAAACATTTTCTCCTTCTCCAACTGTTGTAGAAGGCTCAATGGAGAACGCTACAATTTCTGGAGCATCTGCAAGACAAGGGACAGGCTGTTATTCTGATGCCAGAGATGGAAAGGGTTTTGAGAAAGTAGCAACTGCTTGCCCAGGGGTCTGTTGGTTGTGGTCCCAGGCTCCATGTGAGACTTTAGGCTCTATTGAAACAGTAGCAGTAACAATAGCCCAAACAGCTTTACTATTAAATGACGACCAAATCTACTACTAGTGAGTAAAACTGCTACTTCAAAGAAAGAGGCCATGATGTCACTATATGCAACAGCATTTCAAGGAAATAGCTTTTTAAGTCTTCTCCCTACTGGTTAGGGCTGCAACTTGGAGGTGCTGAGCATACAATGGCAACCTTATGGCAGCACGCAGATAAACAGTTGGGTTTTTTTTCTTCTGGTCTTTATTTTCCAACTGAGCACCAATGCCCAAGCTAAGAGAAAGAGAAGAGTTACTAAAGCGTTGCCTAATGTCTGTCATGAACAACAGCGTATATTTAATGACCCAATTACTGTTACTGAACACTGAAGAATTCAGCTGAATGCACTAGATTACCTACAAAAATAGTATCGATAAGAAGCACAGATTATAAAGGGTTTATCGCACATGCTGTGCAAATCCATTGCATGAAACAGCGTGTGGTGCAAAGGCCCTAGAGAACAAAATACTCACAGTTTGCATTCAGTTTCTGAGAAGTTACTCTTTCTTTGGGTTCAAAGTCCATGTCAGCAATTGGTAACATGGCCACACAGGTAATCTCTTTGCCAATATCTTCAGGCATGTAATTAAATGAATGGACCACAGTTTTGGTCTTTTTATCTGTGCAGTCGTCATCATGAAAACTTTCCGTATGAAGAACATGTTCCTCTTTCTTTAGGATTACTTCCAGTCGATCAGAAGGATACACATCAGGGATTTTACAGGTCACGTTGACTGTGGGTCTGGCATCGAAGGATGGGTGGATCTCAACGACAGGATCACTGGGGAAAGCTAAAAGAATAAAATCGATTTTAGTCTAGCAGAGACGAGCTCCAGGGTCAACGTAAGAACAAGATCCAGACACCAAACACCTTGAGTCTACAGGCATTCAGAACATGACCTTAGATCAACCTTATTACAAGGACCCAGGTCTTTTATAAGCAGTTTGTACACTAAAAGGAGTTATGTTTGTACAGCTGTGGAAATATGATCACTAATGATCTAATAAGATCCAGCAAGGCACCTCAGCAGTGATATGGCTGCCTAAGCATGGGCATCCGGAGCGGGGCAGTCCATCCACCAGTGGCATCCTGTTCTTGGTGCTGGCAGGTTTAGACACCCAAATCGTTCTCCTGCAAACTGCCAAGGCTTTGCACAGGTGCTCTGTGCTTGTAGGTGTCTCAAGCACATCCATCTCAACCACATTGTTTGCTTGGGTTTTTTCCAGCTCTACAAATATTTTGGGGACTCTATGGTTTGGCTTTCAAGTATTACCAAAATAAGAATTAAGACAAGTATGCTCTACCTTTGGAGAAGAAAGCTAAGCAAAAAGGGGATGAGAAAGATCCCTGAACAGACAGGTGAAGGAATCTTTCAAGCAAATCTATACTGGGCTATAGCAGCCTCAAGAACCTGGTGTAATCAGGTAACTACCAACCACGATATCTACAAACAACTGTTGGTGTTTTACAAGTGTGGACTCCTTAGAGAATGTTACATTTTTACTTACAGTAAAGTTCAACTTTGATGCTCTTCTCCTTTTTCTCTTCCTCACCACAGAAGACAGTGCACACATAAAGGTGAGAATTTGCAATGCGAACAGGGTTCATCGTCAAGGTAGAGAACGTCCTGTGGTTGTTCACTGTTCCTCCAAGGGGGTTGTCCATCTGGGTTCTCCATGAAAAACTTGGAGATGCACAGCCAGTACTATTGCACGTGAGCACGAGTGTTTCTCCAAGCTGCGCAACAACTCTGTTCGCAGGTATAATCTCAGTTTCAAAAGCCTGAACTACAACAGGGAGAACAGGTATGAGCTCAGCAGCATTCTCACTCACTTCTGCACCTCATCATGTTCTGTTGTGACATGAGACCGTTACTTTGCTAGCTGACTTTACAGCTGTGTGCAGGTTAAACTAATCAAGCTCACACAGTGGTTTACATCTCCAAACACCCCATAAACATTGGTATTTTTGTTAAAGATAATACAGACTCAGATGACTCTGACAGCCAGTTCTCATGGCACAAAGCCAACACCATCAGTGAAAATAAGCGCACTAGCACAATGTAACTTCTTGTCAGGTGGCTCTGGTTCTAAAGCTCTGTACAGTTGAGAGCCGGGAAGGGCGAGAGCAGAATCCCTCTCAGCAGGGCATCAGGGCGATGCCGCGGGGGGGCCGTAACGCCCAGCGGGCAGGGACACACCGCGGCTCTCTCCCGGGCTGCCTTCCCGCACACCCAGAGAGCGACTGTGCCGGTACAGAGCACACAACCACCTCAGTGGGTGCCACAAACCTCCCCGGCATCCTGCCAGAGCTGCTTAACTGACGTGTAAAAGCAACCGGAGCGAAGG